TTTTAAACCTAAAATATGCCAGTTCTCTTCGTTTTCCAAATACTAATGATATTTATGTTGACATATAATAAATATAAAAGTCTAGAATACTTTTGCCTTCAAAAATGATTGTACACTTGGAAAGAAAAATAGAAATACGTAATAAAGGGCGGGGTTTTATGGTCTGACCAATCGCAAACTACAATTCCACTAGTCTTCCTTAAACGTCATCTGACTCCTCCCACTAGTTACAGTGCGAGAGTTTTGATCAGACCTTGTTTGTTTTTTGCTGGTTAATCTTATTGATAGTTTTATAAAACTCTCGTGTACTTAAAATTAATTTGTCACAGGTGAAAACTCAAGTTATAGAACATTGTCATCAAATTGTACACAAATGTAATACCATCATGAGCGCTGCTGTTAAAGCAAAAATACAACTCAATGTACAATTTAACCTTTTACTTAAATTTCTTAAATTGCTTATAGCCTTATATATAAGTATAACACAATATATCGACATTTGTATTAAATTAGAAAAATGCAAAGAAGAAGAATTCCCATTTGTGGTCTCAGATGTTTGAGTCTGACTCAACATAACTGCATTTATTTCTCCCTCCCAGCTCAGAATCTGAATCGAACTCGGACTCCGAGGAAAATATTCAGACGCCTGCTTATTTCTTAACCATGCATCTACTGACATCTCCTGGTTAAACCAAGAATCACGTCATCTAGTCCATTTTAAACCTAAAATATGCCAGTTCTCTTCGTTTTCCAAATACTAATGATATTTATGTTGACATATAATAAATATAAAAGTCTAGAATACTTTTGCCTTCAAAAATGATTGTACAATTGGAAAGAAAAATAGAAATACGTAATAAAGGGCGGGGTTTTATGGGTCTGACCAATCGCAAACTACAATTCCACTAGTCTTCCTTAAACGTCATCTGACTCCTCCCACTAGTTACAGTGCGAGAGTTTTGATCAGACCTTGTTTGTTTTTTGCTGGTTAATCTTATTGATAGTTTTATAAAACTCTCATATTTTTCTGTCTGGATACAAATCATCGTAAAATGCAAGCTCTAAGGTATGAACAGAAATGTATATGTTGTATTTCATAGATGTTTTATAGACGTTGACAGTAAAATGTTGCTCAATAACCCGTTACAGTCATTTTGCCAAGGAAGTAAAGCAAAGGGATTTTCATTCATATGATGAAAATATTTCAGATGTTTTGAATCGAGGACAGAGCAGACATGACTGGGCAAAACATAAAGGATTATGTTTCAATACTTTTCCATTGAGCACGTGAAACTAGGCTAGTTGTCATATCAAACCAAACCAACGCCCATAGGAACCAAGTTGAGTAATATTATTGCATTAGATTTTTTCTTTTCCTTTCCTACTCAGAAATATGTTTCGTTCGTGGTCATCTGATGCCAGACTTGACGGTAAAACAGTTATAATTACTGGAGCTAATACTGGAATTGGCAAAGAAACAGCCATCGACCTGGCAAAGAGAGGTAAACAGCCCTATTTCTATACAGTTTAATATTGATATATTGTCAGATGAAAAAATGTTGTCTTTATTTCTTACTGATGTCCTGTGTTTAGGAGCACGTATTATTATGGCATGCAGAGATATGGAGAAAACTGATGCAGCCCTGAAGGAAGTTAAGGATGCTTCAGGAAACCAGGATGTAGTTGCCTGCAGGCTTGACCTGGCAGATTCCAAATCGATCAGAGAATTTGCAGAGAACATCAATAAAGGTGAGATCACCTGGATACACCATAAATTCCTTTATAAATGTCTTCCTTGTATAGCACTACACTCATGCAACTGGGTTGTCTTTCAGAGGAAAAACAAGTTAACATATTAATCAATAACGCTGGTGTGATGGTTTGTCCTTATGGAAAGACAGCAGATGGTTTTGAAATGCAAATAGGGGTGAACCACATGGGTAAGCATATGTAATTTGTCCAAATCGGACACCATTTTTAACTTTAAAAGAAATTAAGGGAGACATCAGCACTGCTCATCTTCCTGTAGGTCACTTCCTGTTGACGTATCTGTTATTGGATTTGATTAAAAGATCATCGCCTGCGAGGATCATTAACGTCTCATCCATGGCACACCAATGGGGGACCATCAACCTAGAGGACATCAACAGTGAGAAGAACTATGATAAACAGAAAGCCTACAGTCAGAGCAAGCTGGCAAACATTCTGTTCACTCGCTCTCTGGCCAAAAGACTAGAAGGTATGTCTTTTTTAAAATTATATTTACATTACTAAATATAAATATGATCTGCTCAAGCAGTTTTTATTATTTTAATATTTGTTAATTATTTATTTTTAAATTAATTTTAATATAATTTTTTTATTAATCTAAACGTGATCTGTTCAAGCACAATTTTTATTTGTATTATTTTTATTATTCTAATTTAATTTAATTCCTGTTAGTGTCAGAAATATTATTTTTAAATATTGTTTTTGCTCTTCCTTTACCATATATTGTAATACACATTTACAGCTTTTGATTTCTGTCAAAAGCTTCAGTTGGATCAATTTTTGATGGTCAATAAAATGTGTAAACCAGAGGTGCCCAAAGTGTTTACTATGATGGAACAAAAAATCTTAATTGAGGGCCATAGGCTGAAAGTAAATATTGTGCTATAATAACTATATTATATTAAAATTTACAAATAAACAAAATGACTTATAAAAAAAATTAAAACAGATCAATTAAAAATAAATGCCTTTTTTTCTTATTTTTCCTCTCTCTTGTGATTTGGGCATCTCTGGTCTAAACCAACTTGATAGAACTAAAATAGAATATTATAAAACATATAAAATGCTAGATAACAAATGAAAACATATTTTTTAATCATTTTGGTTTTTTTGCCCCTGGCACTGAATAATTTCTGACCCTGTCCTGGGTTGTGCATTTGCACTTCAAGTTATTCTATTCCAATAATATAACTGATGCTAAAATAATCCTAATAATCCTTCTCATCTGGTCTTTGTGTGATGTCTCAGGTACTGGAGTAACAGCGTATGCTCTCCATCCTGGAGTGGTTCAGACTGAACTGTGGAGGCACTTGAATAAACCTCAACAAGCTGCCATGTGGTTGGCAAAGCCCTTCACCAAAACATCTGTGCAGGGAGCTCAGACCACCATCTACTGCGCCGTGGCCCCTGAACTGGAGACAGAGAGCGGCAAATATTACAGGTCAGTGGATATTACACGTTATGTATTGCTCAGAGACACAAAATAGTTCTGATGTGGCTTTGTTTGAAACTATTTATGTTGTCAAAATATAGCAAAAACAACAACTGTTGTGTCTAAAATGTAAGTCACTTAATATTAACTTCTTGTTAATCGAACAACATAAATACACACAACTCCAATAGGTCGTGTTCATAAAACAACTGCAACAGTTCAGGCATGTTTAATTTGTCTGTTAGACCATCTTATCTCATACTCGCCTGTCTCCTGCTCTCCACACAGTGACTGCGCACCTGCAAAATGCTCCCAGGCTGCAATGGATGATGAGGTTGGCCAGCGCCTCTGGGAACTCAGCTGTAAGATGCTCAGCATCACATGGGAGTGAAAACTCATCTCTCTTCCTGATGAGTCCTGATGAAGTCTTACTGCAGTCTGCCTAAGACTGGCCCATCTACTGTCAAAATCAGAAATACTAATAGTTAATATTAAACACACTAGCATAAAAGATCACTAAATATAACCAAATATGATGGGCTTTTATACATGATGTAAAATTTAAACATATTTTGTAGAGTTTGGTCTCAGGTTGCTTAAGTGAGTTAATTTTCTATATAATACAGGTACATATTTATGCACTAAATGATATAAGAAGTAAATGTCAGATTCAGGCCATTGAAAAAATGTACTGTGAGTATATGTGAATATTTTTTAATATATTTACATGTTTGTGTCCTGGTTTTCATTTTGAATTTTGTATGACCCAAGGAGAAGAGAATAATAAATAAATATTAAATAATATTTCTACATATATTTGTTTATATTTGACTTACATATATTTACTTTGGATATTGTACTTTGCATTTTACATAGTTTTTGTCCACGAAGTAATTTGGGGGGGCGGGGGGACCAAAAAACATAATACTATATAATTAATTTTTCATTCACTACATTTTTTTTTTAATAAAGATTATTCCATTTAATCCAAAATATATTTTAAATTTAAGGAAAATATTATAGACTTCATTGGAAACATGAAGTTACATGTAGAATAAATTGGAAATAAACAGTTAAGTACAAGTCAAAAACAATATGATCAAAAAAAAACTCAGACTCGGTCGCCATGACAATCTCTCATCTCAGCTCTCACCCTGACCCAGTCACCATGACAACCTCTAATCAGCGCTGCCTTCCTGTGACCCGATCACCATGACAACCGCTAATGGCAACTCTGCTTCCCCTGACCCAGTCGCCATGACGACCTTCAACTTCAGCTTTTCTCTCCTTGTGACCCGTCACCATGGCAACAATTCGTTGCCCAATATAGTGTGATGCAGGAGAACATACAAAAAAGGTCACTAATTGCTGGCAACTTTTTTCAAATATATTTTACTTGGGTTGTAAACAAACCAGCATTTATTCAATAAACCAGCAAGAAATTAAGCTTTTTATTAAATGCAGATCAGATCATGTGACTGATTATTAAAAGTTCTGAGAACACTATGACAATAACTTAAACAAATATCATTTCATTAGGCTATATAATGCTAAATTATCACATATTAATAATATATAAATATTAATATATTTATAAATGAAATATTGGATGGTTAGGAATGGTATGATTTATAAGTATATATATATATAATAAGCATACTTCAAACTTTTTAGTAATATGTCTTTGTGGCTATTTTGTCAGTCTAAATCTAATTTGCTGAATGTGCCCGTGAGTGGTCGCTCTCGGCTTGTTCCCTAGATTTTCACGCAAAACTGCGTCAGGATATTCAAATACCCCGTATGCATTATGAAGCTCCTTCTAAATCAACTTTTAACTAGTTTATATAGCTAGTTTAAACTTAAAATGCTTCAGACAAAATCCAGATACAGAGAAAGTTAGGTTTAAGTTAATCTAGTTTATTTAGCCCAGGTTTTTCTCCCCACTAAACTTTTCTTTGAATCTTTCTAAAATGCCGGTGAACATGGCTGGATGCACCACAGACTGCGTGGAGAAGCCGATCTCCATCTGCTTCCAGAAGTTCGGTCGCTTTGTGGGAACTTACCCGTGGTGGTTCTTCATCTCTCCTCTGTTCATCTCTGCGGTGTTGGGGAGTGGGTTTTATTTCTTAGAAGATCGTGAGGCCAATGACATTGAGGATTAGTTCACACCTGTGAACGGTCCTGCCAAACTGGAGAGGCAGTTCGTGCAGCAGAACTTTCCGAAGAACGACTCGGTGTTCTCCAACCAGAGACTCTACACGGATGGAGTTTACGCGTCCTTCATAGCGGTGTCAAGATCCTCCAACATCCTCACAGACGCTGTTTTTCAGGAGCTCGTAACTTTAGACAGAAAGGTCAAGGAGCTGAATGTGTCCATGGGTCACGAGGCGCTCACTTTCGAGGGACTTTGCGCAAGACTATACAAGAAATGTACACCCAATAAGATATTGGATATTTACAAATATTATGGTAATGATTTAGAAACGACCGAGCTCACCTTTCCGTTCTTTCGTTTCGGATTCTCGTACATTTTCTTGGGCTATTCGGTTGGTGGAGTGAATATAAAATCTTCTGTTATTAAAAGTGCAAAAGCAGTGCGCCTGTTTTATTTCCTGAAGGAGGATAATCGCTCCAGAACAGATTTATGGCTGAATGAGTTCCTCAAGGTTTTTCCCTCCAATTTATCACTAAACTTCATTAAGGTAGGTCTTATTTATGTACTGCTGGAGTACTTTATTGATGACAAACGGGGCTTGTTGTCAAAAGGTCTCTAGGCCTACTGTATATCAGTAACTATAACGTTTTGAATCAAAAATGAAGTTGCACAAATGCTTGTTTTTTCTTTCTTTTTTTTATGTCGTTTTCAAATTAATGGTTTATGATGCCATATATTTTGGGGTCAGTTTTACAAGTGACCTTAGTATGTACTGTTGGGTCTGTTTTCTTCTTCTTCACAAAATGTCATGTTGGGGTAGGTTGTAGCATATTTAAATTTAAATTCTAATTTTATTTTTATTCTAAATGATGCTGGCCTATAGTAGGCTATTTACTGGCAGATTTTTTGTGCCCCTATTGATCAACATTAGCTAAATGAATTATAATTTATTTTTTTCTGGGCGATATTGGTGGAAAAGTTTAATTTATTTATCCTTTTCATATTGCAGCTGTTGTTTAAAATTAGTTTTATTAAAATAAGAAAATGTTCTTGTAACTATTCCTGAGCTAAAGCTAAAATGATGTTGTCAGTATTATAATTTGCATCCTCAGGTGACCCATTCCACATCTTTGTCAAGGCAGGTGGAATTTGAGGCAAACACAAAGGATGTAATTCCTCTCTTCTCTATCACATACGTCATTGCCATTGCATTCTCCATTCTCTCTTGTTTGAGGTATGTTAACTTGAATAATTAGGCTATTTTCTGATGCCCAGAGTATTGTGTGATGTCTTCTACCTGTTTTTACTGGGGCTTCTGTGCAGATGTTTTTACATGTTCTCAGAACCCACATTTGACTTTTTGTTTCTAGATAATATACATTCTAATTGTTTTATAAGTTTAAAGAAATGTTCTGATTAGTGATGGGAAAATTGGATCATTTGATTGAATCTTTGAATCTCATTCAGCAAAATGATCAAATCTTAAGTCATTTGAGTGGAATTAAATTAAAATGTTATGTATTAAAAAGCCAAAATCGTGAAACACATCCACAAACACAATCTTTAATCATATTCCAAATTTAGAAGTCATTTTAATAAACCCAAAGATATATTATGCAAAACAGAAGTGATTACTGATTAGTTCACCTTTCGAGTCTGTACTTCATCTTCTCATCATAGTCTTTCGTCATTCATTTTTCACATTAAAGGCTCTGTATAGGAAACAGAAATGATTCGTTCAACCCCCAAATTCCAACTGCATTCAAAATAAATAAACAATTCTTGTTTGAAAATGATTCCAAAAAAGATTTGTTCAAAATGAATGAGTTAAATACATGTTAAGGTCTATTGACAACATCTGTGACAGTTGTTAACTGAGGGATAGATCTTAAGTTTAATTTAAAGGGGTCATATGATGCTGCTAAAAAGAACATTATTTTGTGTATTTGGTGTAATGACGTGTTTATGCGGTTTAAGGTTTTCAAAAAACACATTATTTTCCACATACTGTACATTATTGTTTCTCCTCTATGCCCCGCCTTTCTGAAACGCGTCGATTTTTACAAACCTCATTGGTCTGAAAAGCGAGGTATGCTCTGATTGGCCAGCTATCCAGAGCGTTGTGATTGACCGAATACCTCAAGCGTGTGACGGAAATCTTACGCCCCTTGCCATATGGTGATGATGCCTTGTACAAAGTAGTTTCGCTTTCACAACGAAGCACACAGCGCCTTCACGACATGGCGGCAGCGGCAACAACAATACTACAGCGAGAATCAAAGTTACGCCTTCTTTCTTTGCGTTAACATTTGGGCGGCGTTATGCAAATTTTTCCACATAGTGATGTAGATATGTGGGGGCGTGTTAGAACGAGCCGTTTTAGGTAGATGTGGCTGACTCTTAACTTTTATAAAGAATATCTATTTGGATTTGAGACTTTAGTCTTTGCAACTTTACAGATCTTCTTTATGCACCAAGAGCTTGTAACACTCCAAAGAGAAAGGAAAAATTTAAATCGCATCATTTGACCCCTTTAACTGAGAGGAATCTTTTAGAAAAATATCTATTTTGTCTGTTTTTCCAGGTTTGACTGTGTCAGAAACAAAGTATGGGTTGCTACGTTTGGGGTGTTCTCTGCTGGACTCGCTGTTCTGTCCTCTTTTGGGATGATGTTACACATTGGTGTCCCATTTGTCATGACAGTTGCTAATTCTCCATTCTTGATATTAGGTAAAACATTACTATAAAACCAGTTCTGTTCTGTGTTAATGTATATTATCAGATTAAACACTGATTTTTAAAAATGTGTTTTAAATAGGGATCGGAGTGGATGACATGTTCATCCTCATTTCCTGCTGGCAGCAGACGAATGTTCACGATCGAGTGGAGTCTCGTCTGTCTAATACGTACAAAGAGGCAGCCATTTCGATCACCATCACCACGTTCACAGACGTGCTCGCTTTCTACATCAGCCTCATGACGCCCTTCCGCTCCGTCCGCTCTTTCTGCTTGTACACCAGCACCTCTATCCTTTTCTGCTACATCTACAGCATCACATTTTTTGGAGCGTTCCTCGTTCTTAACGGACGGCGAGAAAACAGCAACAAGCATTGGCTGACCTGCAAGGAAGTACCAGAGGAGTGTCCAGTGGGTCAGTCGAAGTGGTATGAATTATGTTGCGTTGGAGGCGCTTATGACCCCCATACTGGCACAGAGGAGGTACAACCAATGAATCACTTCTTTAAAAAATACTACGGTCCATTTCTGACGAAATCGTGGACGAAGGTCTTTGTGATTGTGTTGTATTGCATCTATTTGATTATCAGCATTTATGGCTGCTTCCAAATTCAAGAAGGAATTGATCTCCGTAATTTAGCAGCTGACGATTCTTACGTGGTGAAATATTATGACAACGAGAAGGCATATTTCTCTGAATATGGGCCAAACATCATGGTTGTCATCCGACGGGAATTTCCATATTGGGATGAAAAGTACATGTCAGATCTTGAAACTTGCATTGAAGATTTCAAAAATGTATCTTTCATTGAAAAGGATATATTCACCTCCTGGATCAAATCATACAAGTACTATGGATATCACGCCAAACTCAATCTGAGTGCCGAAGACGTCTTCAAAGATAATTTGGGAAGATTTCTGCGATTTTATTCCGATTTCAAACAGGACGTCAATTTCACCAACAACTCCATTTACGCGTCTCGCTTCTTCGTACAGACCGTAAATATCTCTACCGCCCTGGACGAGATGAATATGTTGAATAAGTTAAGAGAGACAGCACAAAAGTGCCCTGTGCCTTTACTAGTGTACCAGCCCGCCTTCATCTACCATGACCAGTATGCGGTGATAGTCAGCAACACCATCCAGAACATTGCGGTTACAACAGCTGTAATGTTGCTCATCTCCCTTCTCCTCATCCCAAACCCTCTGTGCTCTCTCTGGGTGACTTTTTCCATCGCATCTGTCATTGTGGGGGTCACTGGGTTCATGGCATTGTGGGATGTTCATTTAGACACCATCTCCATGATCATTCTTGTCGTCTGCATTGGTTTTTCTGTAGACTTCTCTGCTCATATATCTTACGCCGTTGTCTCTAATAAGAAACCCAGTGCAAATGAAAAGGCCGTCGAGGCCCTGTTTAATTTAGGGTACCCTATTTTGCAGGGGGCTGTGTCTACTATTCTTGGGGTGGTTGTGTTGTCTGCCTCGAAGAACTATATCTTTAGAACTTTCTTTAAAATTATGTTCTTGGTGATCTTCTTTGGTCTCTTGCATGGCTTAACATTTATCCCAGTTTTTCTGACCTTTTTTGAGATGTGTAGTGGCACACCAGCTAAGAACAAGTCGGGCCCAGAAGAGCAGGCCATGAAGAACAGCCACACCAATAATATTCAAGCAAAGGCAAAGGATGGTGAGCTGAAAGAGCGAGAAATTTACGACAGTCATACTTTTCCACCAGACAATCACCAAACATGTCAGTCTCAGCCCTGCTCTGCCATATGGATGATAACCGACAATAACCATCATGTTCAAGATAACCACATGCGTGTAGCAAGTACTATCCCAATGTTCAGAGTGGACAGTCAGACCTATGAGGTTCGCATGTATACACCATCTGATGATGCCATGTTAAGAGTCAAACGTCAATCAAAACAGTGCCCAGAAGGCCAAAATTGTGTTTTAGGAAATAGTAACCACATTCAAGATTCAAATGTGCCCACTCTTAACGGTTCTGATTTGTCCATTTTGTAAAATCCCTATACTTTATTATCTTTAAAAATATGTTTGTATGTGTACCACCTTTTCTATGTTTAAATTAAAATTACAGAGGTAAATCTAAATCAACAAGGTGACAACATGACACTTTTTTTTTTTTTTTTTTTTTTTAAAACATACAGTGGGTACGGAAAGTATTCAGACCCCCTTAAATTTTTCACTCTTTGTTATATTGCAGCCATTTGCTAAAATCATTTAAGTTAATTTTTTTTTCCTCATTAATGTACACAC